ACAAACTCATTTAAGGACCTTTTCAGCTTAGGACTCAAAATGTCTGAGTATCACCTAAATCGATTCAAGACAGACACATTTCCCTTCAGTTCAGTTCAGCTGGTATCTACGATAAATGACCATTCCCCAAGTGTCTTGAGAATAAAAGAACTCATTTATCACAGAGATCTAACTCAGACACTATATTCTTTTAGTTTTTTTTGGAAATAGCACCTTGTGTTCTTGAGTGGATAGCTTAATTTGCCTATTATCTGAAGTTGTTGATGAGGATCATTTTTCTGAAGCAAATTATGGATCAAAGCGGATATAATTACGGTGATGATGATGAATTTGGTTGGTGCGTAAGGGTAACTGGTCGTTAATGTGACTGTATACTTTTTTATTTCAATTTAATTAACCTACCAGAGTTATCAAATTCTATCGGGTCTTTTTAGTGTAAAAATACTCATTAGTTTTTTTTTGTTTTTTATGAAATAAACCGATAACTGAGCAGACGGATCCCCTAATGGTAAGAAATCGCCGCCGCCCATGGACGCCTGACGCATGCGACGGTGTGACAAGTGCGTTACCGGCCTTTTGGGGATTAGAAATTTGAAGATTGTTGCGGATTCGCTTATTGGGGAGATTGGGGTCTCCGGTAATAATCTCACTCACATGATTAAACACAACGCAAGCGTTGTTTCATGTCGGTTTTCTGTGAGGCTGTGGTATCACTCCGGTCCAGCAGGCCCATTCGTGTCGAAGGATGGTCCCACACTTAAAATGTTTTAAAATTAATGATTCAGATTTAGAACTAAATAACTTTGAAATATTAAAAATGTGAGCACTGTTTACTAGTAGTACTGTTGAAACGTTTGTAAATACAATTATCAAAAGAGATGTTAATGTTATGTTGTAGATTATACAGTCTGTGTGACACCTGGTAATTAGATTAAACTAGGCACTGAACCCAACGTAATAGGGTGAAGGCAGGTAGACGAACATGTTTGTATGTCAATTAATATTCAAATGTTTATTTATTTAAAATGGTTCATTAGTAAAGGAGACTCTGATATGAATGACTGCTATAAGATCTATAGGTACCCAACATATTTTGGGCTACGTTCTTGGGTAGCGGATAGCTTGCTTTTCGAGTGCCGAATTGATAGATAATCAACAAGCGTTTACGTACGGAAAAAATGGAAGATACCCATTTAAGCTTGGCTTCTAACATACATATAATCACATTCATATCATAAATGTAAAAGTTAATTTGGTTTGATGTTTGTCCGTTAATCACGCTGAATCTACTGAACGGATTTTGATGAAATTTGGTATACAAACAGGGTATGGTATTACAATTGAATGCTCCTATGTGATGAAATAGGAAGCGTATTCTACGCGGACGAAGTTGCTGGCTAGTGATAGCAGTAGTGGTTAATAAAATACTCCCAGATTAAGAAAAAAATTCTCTCTATGAGTTTTCTCTGACTCCAAACTCCTTGCTAACCACATCAGGAGTAAGTTTTATTGAATCTCTTTAAAGAAACAGTTTGAAGTAAGTTCTTCGTCCAATCGCAATTAGTAGTGAGTATAGTTCGCCGGCATGTGCTGCCAATTTTCTTGAATCTTTTATTTTATTCTTTTTACTGATGAAGTTTGCAATGCGGCTCTAGAACTTTTACAAACTAAAAAACTTTGCTGGCTTGTATTGAGAGGGAAAGAGGCAAGCATGGGTTTTATGTTAGCATTCATATCTACGTATGAGGAAGTGATAGAAGATCATATGTGGCATCTTTGTAAGTGGCGTTCTTAAAGAGACAAATATTATCCGTCAGTTGTAGACAAAGTTGCACTTTTAGTTGCCTATTAGTGGGTACGTAATAGGAGAAAAACTATATACCAACAAATTTGAAGTCAATAATTAATTATGTTTATTCGGCATTCTCTACTTTGGAAATATATTTCCTTCATGTTTTTATAAGAACTGTCTCTGCCTCGTTGGTCGAGTGGTTGCAAGTGCGACTGCCGGGCAAGGGGTCTCAGGTTCGATATCCGGGTCGGAAAAATTGTTACTGGGTTTTTTTTAAATCTCAGTAGTAGCTATCACGGAGTCTGGAATGGTGCCCGGTATATGACAATAGACTAACCTCCTACTACATGGGACTCATAACATAAATAGTAAAAAGTAGGTGTTACATTGTACAGTGGTATTAGGTGCTTAATGTGCACCTCTGTTTACCGCTTCGGGGATAAAAATCGTGATGTTTTGTTATGTTTTATAATAACTATCGTGAGACATACTGTATTAACCAAAGATCAGAACGACACATACGAAACTAGTTGAGCTTTTCTCAATATATTTACGTGAGTAATTCTTAGTTACAATTATTTTCTTTACATATTTTCTCTACATATGTGTTAGTACAATATCAGTGGTAGTACAATACATTTTAATCAGTTTCAGAATATTTGAGTTCTATATCTTGGCGGCGACGCAATCACATATACTGAATAAATAAAAGTAGACATAAATCCATACGTTGTGTACCTACACATATTGTTACAAAAAGGCTTACATTTTTGATGTGCCTGAAAAATATGTCTAACGTAGGCACAGTAGGGTACTTATTTGAATTGTTCAGGATTCCTGAAATAGTACCTATATAATTTTTTTCTACATGAAATAACGTAACGTTTGTGTGTTCTGAACATAGACTGATTTTACCAATTTGTGTGATTGTATTGTCTATGTTCAGGTTTTTTAAGGCGAGAAATTCATCGAATGGTTGCTTCCGCCTGAATGAGGCGGGAGGGAGTGTCAGACTCTTACTGACTAAAAACCACCCCGTTCCTTCTCCTGCACGTCGAGCCGGAGCCCCGGTAACCCGTTAGGTTCTCCGCGATACGCACATAGACCATCGATGAAAAACAAATCAACGGATGACGTCACAAAATCCTACATCGCACATTTAAAGTTTACATGCGAATTAACACGGATAGAAAATCCCAACGAACAACTGTTGGGCAGAAAGCCCGCCTGGCACAATTACCTTGTCTGGTCGGAGGATCCTGCTTTTTTGATTTTAGGGAACTTAATACTCTGTTCTCTAAAATGCATACTCTCAGAGGCGAAGGTTTACTTTTAAGCGGAGATCGAAGTCATAACTCATTGAGAATTATCAATTAAGTACCTAACAGTGTACACCTGGATTCTTGGCCTCATTCACATAAGAGGGCCTGCCATAATCTTCAGTTTGGACAACATTTATCAGAGAGTGGTTTGCTCCCTGGCCTCAGATGTTTGATCCGTTAGTTGGCGCCCACAACACACAAAGACCAGACTTACAATTTTATCCAACAGCTGATACTAATTTATCTACCGCTTTTATCACGAGTCACCTGTCTTTACATGCCGAAATATCAACAGTATCTAAGCTAAGCTAGATACCTAGCTAGATATAGAATTGCATCATTATTCTCAATTCATGAACACACAATATTAGCCGGCTGGCAGCCAGCCAGTCCTGTTAATATTCATGCAAAGTCTATTAAATGATACATCATTGTATTAGTATTAGAGTTATGTTTATGTGATTTAGTTTGGTTTGTAATTGTTTTTTTGTAGTTGTTTTTGATGTAACATCATCATCAGCCTGTATTCGTCCACTGCTGGACATAAATCTCTCCAAAGGCATGCCACTGAGCTCGGTCTTCAGCTCTTCTCATCCAACCACTGCCAGCCACCTTGCGGATGTCGTCACTCCACCTAGCTGGAGGTCGTCCTACACTACGTTTGCCTAGACGCGGTCTCCACTCTAGAACACGTTTATCCCAGCGGTTTTCGGTTCTTCGACAAATGTGACCGGCCCACTGCCACTTCAGCTTACTGATCCTTTTCCATCTTTGATGTAACATACCTAGATGTTTTAAATTTTGATGAACTGTTGATTTAAATGTCGATGGGCATCTTCACGTGACAGTACATAAAATAAATTAATTTTGTAATAAATATCTTAGACTGCCTCGTTGGTCGAGTGGTCGCAAGTGCGACTGCCGCGCAAGGGGTCTCGGGTGCGATTCTCGGTCGGGCAAAGTACAGCTGGGTTTTTAAAAAAAAATCTCAGTAGTAGCACGGAGTCTGGAATTGCGCCCGGTTTATGGCAATAGGCTCACCCCTATAACATGGGACTCATGACATAAGTAGTGAAAAGTGGGTGTTATATTGTACAGTGGCATTAAGTGCTGTAATGTGCACCTCTGCCTTCCCCTTAGGGGATAAAAAGGCGTGATGTAATGTTTGTATATTAATGTCAGAAAAAGAAATTATGCTCCTTTCTTATTACAGATTTAAGGAAAGGTTTCCCAGACAGTTCGACACGGTGTCAAACTAGTTTATAATTTAGATTTATCCAGCTCGGTACATAACAATTCCATTGAGAAAGGTTAAGTAGGTTCATGTCAGATTGAAATGTCAACCTCCGGTTAACTTGATTTTAACCGAACTAAATATTTAATGTTATGTATTATTTATTTCAATACTAGAAGAAACGTAGCTGTTAATTCGCAAAAGACCTCTGTATTGTCTGTGTATTTTCATGAGACACAAATGAATTGTTTTTATAATAACTATCGTGAGACATACTAAATTAAATAATAATCGCAGATTAATCACGTGAATATACTGAGAAAAGCTCTACTAGTTTCGAACCACAAAGGGGTTCTTCCTCATGAGCAGCGGGCGCGGTCGCGGCGGGGCGGTCAGTTGGCTGCGCGACATCGCCGCGTTAGTTAACACAAATGAATTCTCCAAAAAATGGGTGTTCAATAAAATCCTAAGGTACTAATGACAAATAAGAATGGAAAGAATAATACCATAATATCCTAATACACATAGAATTAGCGCGATAAAATTATACTGAAATTTAAAGCCCAGTTGCGAAATTTCCTTGTCAAAATACCTTATACTGTAGCCATAAGAGATAAAAACAAATTAATGTGAGTTTAATTTTAATCCTGACCTTTTCTCCGCTGTTATCGGGCAGCAACAGGGAGCCATGCCCGGACTTGCCCGGGCAGATGATCTTCATATCTGTAAAGAATTCAAATCACTTGATTATCTTAACTGAACTGGGTTAAATATGCCTAATTTTGTGATTTCAGCTAAAATGCTGCTTTGGGCAGTGGAAAGTGATAGTGAAACTTATTATATTTAGGGCCGATTTTTCAATCATCCATTCATTCTTAACTGTAGAATAAAATTGACATTTGACAGTTCTTAGTATGGGAGAATTGCCAAATATTCAAAGTTATTACTTAATTCAAATTTTGCGCCAACCCTAGTGGTTTTAAGTTTTGGAGTGTGTGTCTACTTAATGTCCACATATATGGAGATTATGTTGTTTATCAAAAATATATAATATCATTGCCTTGTTATTTTACCTTACAAAAAGCTGCATAAGAATTCATAATAAGCAGCGGTTCCCTTAGGCAAGTCGTAGCTCGTATAACACTTTAACAGACAATTGAATCGTCTTAGAAATAAATTGTGAAAGTCAAGCGGAATAGGACATTTTTTCTACGTAAGTACATTTCCTGTCCAAGAAAAAACAGTTATTATTTTACTTAAACAGAAATAGACTACGGTCAGAACAATAATCTTTATATACGAAAAACAATCATAAAGTAATGGGGATAAGACAGAAAATAAATTACTTTATCACCTGTGCTCACACCGGCTGACAGGCGGATAGAAAAAGGCCGGCTTGTAATTACGAATGGATTATCTCATGTTTTCCATTTACTAAATATATAAGTATTTATTTCGGTATTAACTTGAATATTATTGTTTTGAAATTTGATCTCAGTATATCTATTAATATTTATTTGGGCCCATGAGTGTAGACTCAGCAGTCGCACGAAGTATCGTGTCGAATCGTGGAATGAATAAAGTACATATTTTATCGTAACCTGAGTTCCCGAATTTGCCTATCTTTATATATATAATTCTTCTATGAGTGTGTATGTCACTGAACTTCTCTCAAACGACTGGACCGATTTTGATGAAATTTTTTGTGTGTGTTCAAGGGGATCTGGGAATGGTTTAGATTCACAAATCAGCCCGGCAGATGGCGCTGCAGTTCATGTTTAGGTTATTTATCTTAAACAGCTGAACTAAATTGAATGAATTTTTGTTTATACATTCAAGTGGATATGCAGGACAACGTCTGTCGGGTCCGCTAGTTTGTATATATATAGACTCTAGTTGTCAATTAAGTCAATAAGCTTCATTCTATTACAATTTTAGATTAATCTACTAAAGTTCAATTGATAAGGAAACCTGCAGCTGTAGCCAAATGCCATTTAGCGCTTGTCTACATGTAGAATAGAAACCAAATTATATGGAATTGACGTAAATTTTGACACTTGTCAGTGTCATCCCCATACACTTTGATTTCTACTCTCTCTGTAGACAAACGCTAAAGTGGCGTTTGGCTAAAGGCACTAGACTCATTAACGTGGACCTACCTCGGTAATCTCAAATTTTAAGACTTTGACTGCCAATAAAAAACTGTTGAAGGTAAATCCTCCGCTAACGCCGGTCACTGGTGACCCCATGGCGTTAAACGTGTTAAGAATGTTTGCCAATACTCACGCCAAATAGTCCTTTCTCCATTGTAAATCAAGTACTCGTCGGTGGCGCTGGCCATGCCCTCATCCAATGCGAAGCCCACGTTTAGGTTCTTGAAGGCTTCTGTTTTTACAAACATACCCATACCTGGTGCTCCACCTATTTCTTCGTCTGCAGAAGAAATAAATAAATATTTGTAGTGATTATCTATGTAGTTATATTCTCTCTAGACTGCCTCGTTGGCCGAGTGGTCGCAATTGCGACTGCCGGACAAGGGGTCTCGGGTTCGATTCCCGGGTCGGGCAAAATATTACTGGGCTTTTTCAAAAAATCTCAGTAATAGCACGGAGTCTGGAATTGTGCCCGGTATATGGCAATAGGCTCACTCCCTATTACATGGGACTCACAACATAAATAGTAAAAAACCTACCTTACACCTCTGCCTTCCCCTTCGGGGATAAAAGGCGTTACGTTATGTTGTTGTTATATTCTAGTAAAGTAGTTACTGTATTTAATTCTTTATGTTCTTGGTTTTGTATACCTAATTAGTTGTTCCGTTTTTTATAAATAGTAAAATAATGGATATTTAAACACCGCTGCGCTGCTTCTTGAATTCGCCTATTTTAACAATAACTTATAACCTCAAATTCGAATGATAAGTAAATCCTAAAATAACAATCAAAAGAACTGCACATGCTTGACTAGCCAAAAAAGTCTAGCTCTCATTTGAGCTAATAAGAGCGCTCGATAGATCGCTAACTCAGTACTCGAGACACTAGAAAGACAATAGACCTAGATACGATGCGACCTTTAGCTTGCCTTGTTAAAAGCCGCGAAAGAAAAAATGTGGGAAAAGTAGAGTGAAACATGCGCGTTTCTACTAGTGACTTTTAAACTGTCAAACACCAAGCGGTCACCGGTGACCGCGACCTATTGTTCTTTAATTGTGTCTGTAAAACCGGTACTCGACGAGTTAAGTATATTTACTACCCGTCACAGTCCACTGATAGGCTTCGTCTAAATAAGAGAGAGAGAGAGAACAGGAGAGTAAGGAATCAGTTTAAAAGGTTCAGGTTTATCATTTAAATACTGTAACTGCTTTTTGGCCGAGTGGTCGCAAGTGCGACTGCCAAGCAAGGGGTCTCGGGTTCGAATTAAAAAGAAAATCTCAGTAGTAGCACGGAGCCTGGAGTCGTGCCCGGTATATGACAATAGGCTCACCCCCTATTACATGAGACTCATAACATAAATAGTGAAAAGTGGGTGTTACATTGTACAGTGTCATAATGTGCACCTCCGCCTATCCCTTCGGGAATAAAAGGCGTGATGTTATGTTTATGTTTATCCTAATATGACCTTGACAAACAAAACAAGCATAGGTATTCTATTCTGTCTTCACCACAATCAGGAACACACAAACAGGTCGACACTTGATCTATGTGTTTTATTCTTGAATGAAAGACGACAAAGTGTTAACGTACCCTAAAATAATATAAATAAGTAATTAAACTAACCTGGCACAAAAGACAGATGGAGAGTTCGTTTCAACCTGATGCCGTTAGCCTTCAATCGCTTGACAGTTTCAATGTACTGCACAGCAACAGACTTCATATCTTGCACTCCTCGGCCGTAAATGACGCCATCTACTAAGTGAGCCTCGAAGGGAGGGTGACTCCAACTTTTCTATGAAATAAAATTAACAATGTAATATATGAACATTTGATTTCGATTTGCAGATACAACATATAAACACAAGTCCACTGTAGCATCAACAACTTACAGAATATAAAGGCCAGAAACGGAGATTATTAAGGAAACAACTTGGTATCGATAATACAGAATATTATTTTCTTCCAAAGCACATTTATAACAAAGATACAAATATTACATCTCCTCTCGTCAATAGTCCCGCCAATAGAATGCCGCCATCCGTTCAAATTTTCAAAATCCCATTCGTTTTCCCGCCTTTTTCGATCACCGTCTCGAAATCGTCCAATGACGTTTCGAGAATTTAAGCCTGTTCTATTTTTTTCAAACCAGCGTTCTCGATGTCATCAGTTGACATTTCGAGAATCCAAGTCCGTTTTATTTTTATATGTTTGTTTATGGTCAATCACAAAGAAGTTTAGTCTATTACACAATAAAAATACAAATTAAATAATTAAATTAAATCATAATAATATTAATGAACAAACAAAAGATTATCGGTTTATTCAAACCTACAGCAGACGGTTAAAGTTCCCTTCTTGCTTTTATAGCCGTATTATCTATGACAGCAAAAAAACTATGTCAAATTTAAAACGGGATATTTACCTATTGCGTATCCTTAGTTAAATCAACTGCTAGTCGTAGATAAGTTTAGCTGCTAGTTCAACTGTTAGTCGAAGTAAGTTTACATCCATGAAGCTGGTCAATTAAATAAGCAAATATAAATCCAAATTCTTTCAACCCTTGCCTAACTTGAGGACCAAATTTAATGTACTTATGACACAAAACTATTTTAGGCACCCATTTATTTATATTATTATGTTTTTGGCTTACTCACGTAATTATTTGACGACGAACTCGACTAGTTTCAAGCCATACTAGAGGCTCATATTCATGAGCAGCATTTCATGACCCGCGACGCGGCGACTGTTGCGCTGCTACTGTATGGCTTGAAACTAGTCGAGTTCCTCGTCAAATAATTACGTGAGTAAACCGAAAACATAATATATTTATTATGTCTCACGAAAGTTATAATACAAACCATTTATTTATAGGCAAATGTTTAATACCAACATAAGAAAATCAGAAAATCACAGCTCCTACACAGTAAGAAATGGAATCGGGGAAATGAATCTGCTCCAGATAAAAAAATAAACAGAGCAGAATATAGATCCGGTACCAGTTAACGATACTTAACTGCAGGCAAGTAATTAAGTTTTTCTGTTAAGAGGAAACCTGATTTACTGTTACGGTCCGGAATTGAACGTACGATCTCGTTCATGGATTAAATAATAACGTTTGAGATAAGCTCAGGAGTTGTAGGAATGGATATATATGCATAGAAATTACCTACAGAATCGTTTGGTATGTGTTTGTGGTTTTAATAGGTATTACTGGTTAGAAATTCATGTATAAATTGTAGACGTTCCCTAGACATATGCATTAGTTGAATATTGTATGGGGAATTGGGTAGTTTACAGGGTATCAAAATTAAAAATCTAATTAGTCCGTCAGTTAGATAATGAAAAAATATTAGACACGTATTTTTTATTTTCTCGTATTAAGTTGCAATACTTATTATATGTTGATAAAATGGCGCTAAGTTTAGTAGTGCGAGGTCGCAGTCGAGTGACACGCTGTGACGTCACACGATATTTCAAATTAATATATCGTCGAAAGTATTTAATTTTGTGAGAAAAGAAAAAATACGTGTCTAAAGTTTTACATTAATGTACCAGACGGACATTAAAATAAAATTTAGGAAACTACCCTATTGACAACATTATATTTTATGTTTGACATCTAAGACAAACAGACTTTTTAAAGCATCTGTTTTTATAAAATACATTCTTTGGATCAAAACCTAAAAGTTTTTCGACACTATTGAACTTATTTATAAAAACAATACTTATTCGCCACTATACATTTCATACATATATACATAACTTCACGCCTGTCTCCCATAGGGGTAGGCACTTAGGCAGGGACTGTAGAACGCCAATTGCTACGATTCCGACATTATACTTTACATTTGAACACTATGATAATAAATACAAATATTAAATTGGTGGAAATTAAAATGAAACTAATTTTCCAGTCGGTGGGCACCGCAGATTGTATTGAAGTGACAGCGAATGCCGCTTCTGGGCGATACTTTATTTTAATTTATTTGCACATAATTCACCATTGATTTCAATTTTCGGGTCCAGGAAATAATTTTATTATTGGGGTCGTTAAAACTCTCTAATAAAAACATGAAGTTTGGAATTACATATGTCTAGTGTACGGCAATATATTCTTCGTCTAGCATTTTTTTAAAGGATAATCGTTGCACCATTCTTGAATTTTCCCCTGTATAATGATACAAAGAATTTGTTGTGACAGAACTATATTTAAGCGCGACTTAAACTTGAGTGACGTTTGAATGATTGACATTAGACTTTTTTAAAAAAGGAACGTTACCCCGCATTCGAATTTTCTCCTGTGTCGTGGGTGCGTTTACAAACATACAAGTTCACATACACATGACACCCAGACCCGGAACAACAATCTGTGGATCACACAAATAGTTAGTCCGTGTGGGAACCGAACCCGCTACACGTTGAGCGGCAGCCCGTTGCTTGCCCAGCCTCCGCGCCAACCGTAATCATATCAATACATAGCAAATGAACGTGTTTAGTCGTTTTTTTTTCAAAAACATGTAGAAAAGAACTTGTAGAATAACCTTCGTAGAGCTAAATGCTTACACGAGATCCCAAAAAGACACATAATTAAACTTTATAAAACAATAAAATGTCACTTAATCAAGTTAGTGGGTCCTCGGCTAACTTCACACTTTTGGAAACTAGGTTACTTTGAATTTAATTTTAAACTGCGCTAGAAGTTACAGCTTCTCCACCAACATCTAAATCTTTCAGAATGCGGATTCCTAAACAATTTATTCGGCTTCGGATGCTGGTAGCGTCTTTAAGTATTTAATCACTTAAAGATTTTAAAACAGGTCTCTTTGATAACTCTTTAGTTTTAATGGTAGTGGAAAGCTATAACGTACGCAATGTGTTCTGCCATGGGTACAATGCAATTGTCACCTGACCTACATTTTTTACAGGTGTCGTAAAAATGTTTAAGAACCACACATCTGACTGAGACCAGACAGCAGCTTTCTCTGATAACCCTGAACCTTTTCAATTGCGACTGCCAACCCATCTGATAAGCGTGGAGATCACGATAAGTCTTATATTAAGGCCCATAGTCTAGCAGTAGATTGTCACCGGTTTTTTAATGATGAAGATTTTATGACATTAATGTGACCTTACCTCAAACACTGGTACAACATCCATATGCGAGTTCAGCAGCACACTGGGTAGGTTAGGTTCTAGTCCTGGCCAAGTCATCACTAGGATAGGCTTCTTCGGCAGAGGCTCGTGGACTTGCACGGACAAGCCCATCTCAGCAGCCTGGCCGCGGAGGTAGGTGAGGCATTCATCTGGAGACATCAACAACTTTTAGTTAAATTATTATAAGCATTCTAATAACTAATAATAACTAAGGAGTAGGCCTTTTCCAGTAGTGAAGTCTGCCGGCTGTTGATGATGATGATGACGATGATCTTAATTGCATTTATCTGCCTAGTTAGTCGAGTGGCCAGAAGTACATCTATCAAGTAGGTTTTTTTTAAGGGGGGAAAATCATCGAATGACTGCTCCCGCCTGGGTGAGGCGGGAGGGAGTGTCAGACTCTTACTGACTAAAAACCACGCCGTTTCTTCTCCTGCACGTCGAGCCGGAGCCCCGGTTACCCGTTAGGTTCTCCGCGACATCTAGTAGGTTCAGGGTTCGATCCTCAGATCCAATTTCTCAACCTGTGCCTGTACTATTAAAAAATTCTTTGCCTGTCTCGGAAACCAGAACTCCTTGCTTGATTATAGCACTTGTGACCACCCAACTAATGAAGCAGTGTCATAAATAGACATTACGCAAGTCTGATTCTTTAACACCAGTAGCTTAGGTTTAGACGTCGTTGCATGCAATGTGCAAATGGATAAAATATTTAGGTAATCAAAACAATATTGTTCGAATCGAGTAAACAGCCTCATAATTACAACGATTCATTAATACGATTAAATTTGTAAATTAGTGCCAATGTTATTCCAACTAATAGTTGCGATTCGATTTATTTGCGTTTAGCACCTACCTATATTATTATTATCGGATTATTTGGATATTGAGTTTAATTGAGTCCATTTTGGGTAGATTAGTAGGTGTTGATTTAATTATTTTCATTTATGTTAATAGTAATACGGTTGTTGCACATTGCTGTGATCATCACAGTTCCTGATTACATACCTACACTTTTTTTTGAACCAATAACTCTTTATCTCAATACATTTTTCACTATATGTTTATTACGTTAGGTTTTTTTCTGATTTATAGTCTACTTGACGGAACGGTTGGTGCAGTCACTGGGCAACCGGCTGTTTGTGTGATCTACAAATTGTTGTTCTGGGTCTGTGTGTCATGTGTATGTGAACTTGTATGTTTGTAAACACACCCACGACACAGGAGAAAGTCGCGCTTATATATAGTTATGTCACAACCAATTCTTTGTATAATGATAGAGATATTTAAGTACAACTTCAAATTTCGGCCTGCCTTGCCTTTCAATATTCGGGCGTAAGTTTTACGGTTTTAACACATTTTGTTAAACAATTGGAAAAAAGGGTGCTAAGACTAAATATATGAAAACTAAATCTACTAAATACAACACATGGACAGAGCACCCAAATGTTAACCTACATGTTCACTTACTATCATAAAACACAAACAAAATATTTCGCTCTTCAAAGTCAACAAACAAATTTCATGAAAAAAGCGAAACAGAAATTAATTCATTAAAACCATTTACGACTCCCCCCCATAGGTACATGCAAACAAATTAAATGATCTTTTTTACTGCAACGCGGACGGCACATGAATAAAGGTCCGCAAAGGTAGCTGTGTCGTTCTAAAAAAAGCGTTGGAGCTCTATTGTGTACCGACATAATGTTACTTGTCTGTCCTCGCTGTTAACGAGGCTTTAAGCCAAAATAACACTTATGGACAATGTTGCATTATTAAATTACTGTCAAATTTGCTTGCAAGGTATTTTGGGAGCTATATGGGATGGGTAGGATAAGATGTAGTAACAATAATTGAAAGAGGATGTTAAAGTTGTTTGTTTGATCATAGTTTAAAAGAATAGATTAATAGGGTAGTCGGTTTAGCTAATTCAATGTAGTTTAGTAATTTAGTTTAATTGTTCTATACGATCATGAAACTAACGTGTATATTTATAAAATAGAGATTAGAATAAAGAATAAAAAATACAAGCTACAGTCAAATCGCTGCCTGCCCCAATAGGAATTACTTAAACTCTTAAAACAGTCAGGGAGAGATTGAGTAAAATAAAAAAAAAATCACACATTGTTACATCACAGACTAAAAATGTTTACAACAAAACGTCATGAATCTATTACTACTAACTAAAACAAATGTATCACTATCTACCCCCTTTTGGGGCAAACTGTAGAGGGCTAATACAATAACGTTCCTACGTTACGTACCGTAATTAACGTTAGGATGAACGCTACGGATCCTCAGGTAATTCCGTAAATTGCTCACTGCAGGATCGGACTTGTAATCACTCGGCATTTTTCAAAAAAAAAAAAACTACTACAAACTCCTTTAAGTTTACACTGACGTAAATAGTTCGCAAGTGATGACCACAGATAATTTTTGGCACTTTTATAGGCAATTTATCGTAACTTATTCGTATTTTAATGTAACCTACAACCGCAAATAGTGGTATCTAATGGACGGAGTAGAGGGAATTGGGGAAAAGTGAACCTTGTTATAAGTAATTTAAAAAAGAAATTCAAAATATACAAAGGGACCGTATTTCGTAAAAATGTTTAATTTAGAGGTATACTCGATAGAAGGCGACCTATTCGGACCTAGGGCGACCCAATAGTACGACATAGGGCTACATATTGATAAGGGGCCAAAATTTACGATCTTAACACCCTTTATAAAACGGTTATGTTTAAAAATCGTTCTAAATTCTCATCACAATATTGTTTTTACATTTAAGTGTGTTGTTTCTTTACTTATCAAAATATCTATAATTTTCACTTTGTTGATGATTTGAACAAGTTTTATATCATAGTCATAGTATAATGTTTTAAATAATGTACATACCTTCTTATATGCTTATGAATGATGTTTTTATTATCCATTCAAGAGTAAATATTTGAGATTTATAAATACTATTACCACTATCATATCAATAGAAACACTGTTTCGACCTGATTAAACATGTCAGGATGGCCGAGCGGTCTAAGGCGCTGCGTTCAGGTCGCAGTCCACTTCTGTGGGCGTGGGTTCGAATCCCACTTCTGACAAATATATTTTTACACATTTTATCTTTTATTTTGACTAATAAAAGTTATTTTCATTTAATGTGTTTCTATTTAAAATAAAAAGTATTTTTTAAAATAATATTCTGTAAAACAATTGTACCATCACGCCTTATATTGCTTTTGCAGCTAGGCCTAGAACATTTGAATGTTAACATTCACTTTTTAAAAGGTTTTAAGTCCCATAATTATATGATACAGAGAACTAGGTTAGAATTAATCCTTTGCTCAGTACTTTTTAGAAAATTCAAGTGTTAAAAAATAGTGAACAACCTAGTCGTCAGTGTGTCTGTCGGTTAAGAGTTCTTTAAAAAAAAAATTAGTAATTATAACAACACTAACGACCATTCAACCAATGAGGTAGAACATGGAATTAATATAAAAAAAATAGTATTCGATTTTTTAAAATTATTTCTATTCACGTAATTTCAAACTGATTCTTATTGGTCGAACTTCCCCAAATTAACAAAACAAATACATACAATAGTAGTATGTAGATATCTAGTTCCCGCAACCGCAACATTGATAGCCAAAAGTAGGTGAGATAGGAAACAAATGAACTGATTCTAAACTACTGACATATTAATAGACAAACAAAATACAAGTAATTTGTATTTATTTCTTACTACATATATCTAACGTGACATGTCGTGGTGGCCCGGAGATTTTAAGACCCACGCTTTTTATGAATTGATTGATGATTCAGAACGTACCAACTTATGAATGGTGTTAACTCTTGTATTAATTAAATTTTACTTTTCTTTTTCTTTTGTTTATGTTTATTGTTGTAACTGTTTAAAAAAAACAATAAATAAATAAGCGGCAAGTACCAATGTGACTTTTCCGAGTTCTGTGTACTTTCTAAGATTATCTAGAAACCATTGTCAAACGGTGAAGAAAAAACATCGTGAGGAAACCTTGGCTTATAATTTCTAATTATAAGTTTGAAATTGCCAACCCGCATTGAGTAAGAGTGGTGATTAATGCTCACCTTGTCCGTGTTAGAAGAGGCCTTTGCTCAGCAGTGGACATTTATAGGCCAGAAGTCCACAAAGGCCGCCAAGAAGGCCACAGCACCAGCACCTAAGGCTAAAGCAGCACCTAAAGCCAAGGCCGCTAAAGTCAGTCAAAAGTCCGCCCCTAGGGTTGGAGGAAAACGATAAGACCTTAAATAATAATAGGCTGTTGCTGTAATATCTAACTACCAAAGTCCAGGTCCTTTATATTATTTTATTGATGGCAGAGTAGACTACATTTGTCACCCCTGCTCTTCGCGGGTATCGTATTATAAGGGACTTCATATTCGAGAGAGCAGGCAGCAGCACTCTGTGATAAACCTGATTATTCTAGTTGTCTTCTACCACTCCTTCGGCCACAATTGCAACCTTTCAAGAATGGTGATTTTTACGGTTAGTTTTTCCGCGAAACAAATTGAACGGATTCTGAAATTTTAGCTGATGTATTGTTAAATAGGGACAAGCCCGCCGCAACCTCCCAAAACCGCTGCAACTCCTGTAAGCCAGGATCTACAGTAGATACAAGCGTACACTGAAGTCCGGCGCAACGAAGTGAATCAGCCCCGATATATATTAATCATACCCAATGTATATTAATCCAAATACCTCCCACCTTCCCCAATCTCCCCAATCCCTGAATCCACGACATTCCTCAAATTCCTAAGCCCCAAATTACCGGTAACGCAATTGTTACGCTTGTGGTGTTCCAAGTGTCCATTGGCGACGCCGCGCCGATTGCTTACCATCAGTTGATTCGTCTGCTCGTTTACCGGCTTATCCCATAAAAAATTGAGTGCCTGCCATCTATCAAAGAGGCTTATGATATAAAGTTATCCTATTTAGGCAAATTCTGTAATTATAACTCTAATCAAAGGTGTATGACCTTTAAACAACAATAACAACCGCAATATAGTTATTAAATTAAACTGTGTAACGTCAGAGCAATGTATCACTGTTATCAGTGCGTCACTCAGTGTAATGTACAACTATGTGTAAATAATATGTGTAGAACATGGGAAGGTAGAGGGTTATCTGTTACGTCTTATCTCGGACTGTGAGTGGACGTGGAGATTTTCTTTTATGTGTATTTTATTTATAAATGCTTATTATTTTCGTTCTATTTTTAAGACGACAAACAAAATCAGAGCCTTTTAGTTAAAATTTCATTTTTAAAGTATATTTTGTTTGTTGTCTGTGACCGATCTTGGCGCTTTGAAGGTTTAAAAACTATGATAGAACTACCTAACTATCTCGTTGGTTTAATTACCGGGTCGGTTAAAGCGCTCGAAAGATAGGCAACAAGCTGAACCATTAGACTCGTTATATTCGTCATTGGCTTCAATTATTTAAAATTAGAAATTAAGATAGAAATATATCAATCAGAACAGTATTAACTAAACCACAATAAAAACACTATCTTAACATATAACATCATCACGCCTTTTATCCCCGAAAGGGTAGGCAGAGGTGCACATTATACCACTGTACAAAGTAACACCCACTTTTCACTATTTATGTTATGAGTCCCATGTAATAGGGGGTGAGCCTATTGTCATATACCGGGTACAATTCCAGACTCCGTGCTACTATTGAGAATATTTAAAAACCCAGTAATACTTTGCCCGACCCGGGAATCGAACCTGAGACCCCTTGCCCGACAGTCGCATTCGACCACTCGGCCAAACAGGCAGTCCTATCCACTATCTTAACATAATTATTTATATTATAACTATCGTGAGACACACTAATTCTTTTTTCGGCTTACTCACATAATTATTTCAGCAGAAGCAATTAAGAAAGCAGTCGCCGCATCGCATGTCGCGAATGCTGCTCACGTATATGAGCCTCTAACATGGCTTGAAACTAGTCGAGTTTCTCCTCAAATAATAACGAGAGTAAGCCGAAAAACATATTAATTAACTATATAACATGTACTATATAACAAAACACTACGTACCTATAAATAAGATCACATTATAAAACCGTTATTTTAATTTATATATTATATTCAAATTAGTGTTTTCGTGACAACCCTCAGTTTGCATGCCGGCTGAGATGTCAAATAACCATTAAAGTTCTTGTGTTAGGGTTGGTTTAGTAACCAAATTGTTTACTTTATTTAAATTGGAGGTTATAATTATTAAAATTACGTATTACTATTGCTGAGGGCAATGACCTTATAACCTTAAAATTTACAGTAATTTTGTAATTTTCATTTCTGTGCACAATGTTTGAGAAGTTGGTTCTGTTATGAAATGGATTTTGGAATGTCTTTTTAAATTTAGTAGTTGATAGTTTTATGTTACTTTGCAAAGTCATCTTTGGATACATTATTCTTCACCTAAATTAATGGGAGTGATAAATTTTTTGCATGAAATTGCGTGAAAGTAGGATTAATGCGGTGGAAATGAGAGCCCTGAGAAGTATGTGTGGACTAAAATTGAGTGATCGAGTGAAAAATAGTGTTATTAGAGAGAGGTGTGGATTGAAAGACGATGTAGTGACAAGGATTGAAAAGGGAATGTTACGCTGGTTTGGACATGTAGAAAGGATGGATGAAAGTAGAGTAACGAAAGAAGCATACAGAGCGGATATGAATGGAGCCGTCGGTAGAGGGCGCCCTAGACGGACATATAGTGACCAGATTGGCGATATATTAAAGAAGGGCCAAATTAAAAGTACCCTTAACCGACGAGCATGCATGAAAAGATTGATGACTGTTAATGAAGCGAAAGACGTATGTAAGAATCGTAGGAATTGGCGTTCGATAGTCGCTGCCTACCCCCATGGGAGACAGGCGTGAAGTTATGTATGTATGTATAATAATTTTTTTTAGTTAATTACTGTATAATAAAAAGTACAATCTACATACGTCATACACTATTATGCGTTTCATCGCTCAAGATATATATCGATGGTATCACACATTCACACTGTAAAGCACAAAGTTCCTTTTTGGAAAAACTTTGATAATATTTTCTTCTTGAGCACGCCCTCTAGTGGTAGCCGCCAAAACTAAGAAAAGCAACAAGTTGTCTGAAACGTTATATGTATAAAGCTTTGCGTTTCAGCCTCGGTTTTAGGCGGTTTGTTGCCTCTACTTTCATGTAGATGGCGTTTGTTGATACAGTTAGAGCATTTCAGGGAATACAATCTCAACTTTGTGAATTGGAATATTTAGTTACCGTAGCTACCGAAAGATGGCAGTAAATAAAATTAA